CATTTGTTTATTTTCGTCTTCGTTCTTGCGTGTGGCGATCGGCTCTCATGCGCGCGGGTCTGCCGTGGCGGGGCGGAGGGATACAGTGTTTTTTATTTATTTGTTTATCTCTTCATTTAATCTATCATTTATCTATTGTTTTCTTAGTTATTTGTTTGTTAATTTTCGTCTTCGTTTTTCTGTGTTTTTTAATGTGTGTTCGTGTTCTTGGACGTGATTTAGGGGGATACAGTGTGTATTACGTGATATATGAGGATGCGTGCGGTTCTTGGGGGGCGGGTGAAGGGATACAGTGATTTTTTTTTTTTTTTTTTTTTTTTTTTTTTTTTTTTTTTAATGTGTTCGTGTTCTTGGACGTGATTTAGGGGGATACAGTGTGTTTTACTTGTTTATTCATTTGTTTGTTTGTTTTCGTCTTCGTTTTTCTGTAGTTTTTAATTTGTGTGTTGGTGTCATGGGACTTGAAATGATGATATAAATAAGGATAGTTAATCTAAGTGATAATGATTATAAATGATAATTCTTATTTCTTAGTCTTCGTTTTCTGTGTTTTTATTTAGTGTTGATGTCGTTTTGCTTCTTTTTTATGGTAATATAAGCAATGACAATTGATATAAATGATAGTTACAGATTATATCCATTTTCCTTTTTCCGTCTTCCTATTTTGTCGTTCCATAAAGAGTTGATACTCCCTTCCTTTTCTCTTTAGTAAAATATTATATAAATAATGATAATAAATATAAGTGATAATAATCATTAACACTATCATTATTTTTCGTCTTCGTTTTTTTGTGATTTTATTTTGTAAATAGGTACTCTTTTCCTTTCTATTTAAAACATATTCTACATGTATGAACTTCAGAATTCGAATAAAAATAACTCAAAATTTAATGACGTTTATAAAGCGATTCCTATCTACGATTCTCTTATGTTCTCTGATTCTTTTTTTTTTTGCTGTCGTTTCTATTCTTTCGTATTTTTTTCCTATGGAGTAGTATGACTTTTGAAAAAGTATTATACCTATAGACGATATCATCATCATCATCATTATTATTATTATTATTATTATTATCATTATCATTATCATTATTATTATTATTGTCGTTGTTGTTGTTCTTATTGTTATTATTGTTGTTCTTATTATAGCGTTGTGCTTTTATTTTATCAAGTTTCCCATCTTTTCTCAAACGTGCATTGTGATAATGATGGTGTTGATGATAATGATAATGATAATAACAATGATGATAATCAAAGAGATAATAATAATATTGATGACGATGATGATGGTGATGATGACACTAAAAACGATAATGGCAATGATAATGGTAATGACATAGATAATGATAATGATAGTAATAATAATGATAGTAATAATAGTAGTAGTAATAGTAATAATAATGATAATAATAAAACAATAGTAGTAGTAGTAGTAGTAGTACTAGTAATAGTAGTGATGGTAGTAATGGTAATAATAGAAATAATAATGATGATAATGATAATGATAATAATAACAACAAAACAACAACAATGATAATATCAAAAACAATCACAACAGCTGCAACAACAATAACAACAATCACCACACTCCCACAGAACAATAACAATAACAACAATCATCAAATTCCCACAGAAGCCCTACCTGGTTCGACGTGACCCGAAACGCCTCGAAGGACAGGTAGAAGTTGTGGACCAGCGGCACAAAGGTCCTGACGAGGGTGAAGGGCAGGAGGAGCACCATCAGGAGGCACTGCAGGACGACCCTAAGACCTCCTGCAGTATAGTGACACGCGGCTGTGAGTGCCTCGGCGACTTTGGATGCCAGGCCCGTGTAGAGTCCGGATCTGTGAAGGAGAGTGGGTGAGTGGGTGTAATATATTTTTTAGGCGTGAATAAAAGCCAAATCTTTTATAAATATGTAAAGATAATAAATGCTAATGCTGTTGATGTTAGAGAAATTTTGATGTACTTTAAGAAATACATAAAGATAATAGATGATAATATTGTTGTTGATACTTTAATTCTGATATACTTTTAGAAATACATTAAGATAATAAATGCTAATGTTGTTGATGCTAGCGAAATTTTGATATACTTTAAGAAATACATAAAGATAATAAATGATATTATTGTTGTTGATATTAGAGAAATGTTGATATACTTTAAGAAATACGTAAAAATGATAAATGATAATATTGTTGTTGATACTTTAATTTTTATATACTTTAAGAAATACATAAAGATAATAAATGATATTATTGTTGTTGATACTTTAATTTTGTTATACTTTAATAAATACTTAAAAATAAATGATGATATTGTTGTTGATATTAGATAAATTTTTTATATATAATTTAAGAAATACGTAAAAACAATAAATGATAATATTGTTGTTGATACTCTAATTTTGATATATTTTAAGAAATACATAAAGATAATGAATGATAATATTGTTGTTAGTATTAATATAAATTTTAATTTACTTTAGAAATACATAAAGATATAAACATAATTGTTGATATTAGAGGAAATTTGTTATACTTTAAAAAATATATAATAATAATAAGTATTGTTGTTGATACTAGAGAAATTTTGACATACTCCTGTTGATATTAGATAAATTTTTCATAAACTGTTGATAGTAGAGATATTTTGATAAACTTTTGATACTGGAGAAATTCTGATATACTCCTGTTAATATCAAACAAATTTTGATATACTCTACTTTATATTTGAGGAAATTTGATATACTTCAAGAAATATATAAAGATTAAAATGATAATATTTTGTTGACGCTAGAGAAATTTTGATATACTCCTGTTGATATTACGGAAAATATGGTATACAAGTGTTGTTGATATTCGAGAAAAATCTGATAACAACTTTTGATGATATTGGACAAAATCTGATATACGTTGAACAAACGATGGGTATAATCTAATCCAGGAAATACATAACTCAAAGATTATTTCTATAACAGGAAGAGTATTTCGAAATGGTGATAAAAGAACTGTGCATATAACATTAACGCCGTTTTTGCATGATCATGGTGGCAAAACATAACTGTAACAAAATACTTATAATCATCCCTATATGATAACTATCTTGGCGTTTGTTTGTTAATGTGATACTAAAGATTGTAAAAAAAATATATATTAAGGTGGTATGGAAAACTACATAGAACGGTAAACACAGTGATTAACACATGTAAGGTATAGCATCTGTAATTGTATTAAATTGATAAGGAAACTGATATAGAAGGAGATGCTAAATGAAACTACATTGATAGCGAAAAGATTTTTTTCTTATTTCACCTCGTGGATTGATAATAATATTAATAAAAATAATATTATTTTTTCGAAACCGGCCACGTTTTCTTCGCCGTGACTATTTTTTTCACACTCACACGCACTTTAGATACTTTTCGAAGTTTTTTTTTTTCACGGAGCGTTTATTCACTAAGATATTCGGAGTCAAATTAAATCTCTGCAAAGGAGATTGAATCACACATAAGCGTCTTTGTTAACACATGTGAAAGCTGTTTATCTAATTTGCCGATCTGGTTAATAAGATGAAACGTTGACGGGTAGATTTAAAAAAGGCGGGAATTTATAGCGAAAGAAAACGGACATTCCCAAATACTTTTTTCATAATTTAAAATCCAGAATACCATGAAAGTTACATACATGAATCAACATAAACCAAAATGTTGGAACAGAATACGATAACTGCTCTTGTATCTTATTCACTTTAATGTTATGCACTAATTAAAAACAACATTCGAGAATTCAGACCTTCATTTTGGATGAAATAATATTTGTCTTTCCCCCTATTCTGCCCAAAAGGCTAAAGGTGTATTTTTCTTTCCTTTATTAAAATGATACGAAGTAGTATCTACCCCCCCCCCCCCGACACGCATAGACTGTTTAATTAGAGTCAAATAACTTTCAGAAAATATAACGAATAAAAGAAGAGAGAGAGAGAGAGAGAGAGAGAGAGAGAAGAGAGAGAGAGAGAGAGAGAGAGAGAGAGAGAGAGAGAGAGAGAGAGAGAGAGAGAGAGAGAGAGAGAGAGAGAGAGAGAGAGAGAGAGAGAGAGAGAGAGAGAGAGAGAGAGAGAGAGAGAGAGAGAGAGAGAGAGAGAGAGAGAGAGAGAGAGAGAGAGAGAGAGAGAGAGAGAGAGAGAGAGAAGAGAGAGAGAGAGAGAGAGAGAGAGAGAGAGAGAGAGAGAGAGAGAGAGAGAGAGAGAGAGAGACAGAGAGACAGAGAGAAGAGAGAGAGAGAGAGAAGAGAGAGAGAGAGAGAGAGAGAGAGAGAGAGAGAGAGAGAGAGAGAGAGAGAGAGAGAGAGAGAGAGAGAGAGAGAGAGAGAGAGAGAGAGAGAGAGAGAGAGAGAGAGAGAGAGAGAGAGAGAGAGAGAAGAGAGAGAGAGAAGAGAAGAAGAAAGAGAGGGAGAGAGACAGATTAACAGAAACTGCAGACAGACAGACAGAGAACCGAACAGAAAGCCAGAAACAGCCAAACAGACAGAGAACCGAACAGAAAGCCAGAAACAGCCAAACAGACAGACCTCTCCACCTGTACCCCCTTCACCCTCCCCTCCCTACCCCTCCCCTCCTACCCCCTCCTGCCTGTCACCCGCACCCAAAGCCAACCTCCCGACGACCCCGCACGACCAAGACCACCTCCTCCTCCTCCTCTTCCTCCTCCACCCCTCCTCCTCCTCCTCCTCCTCCTCCACCTCCTCCTCCTCCTCCTCCTCCCCACTCACCGCAGCATCAAGAGAGCCACCACCGTCCTAGGAAGCCACAGGAGGGAACCCTGGTACAGCTGCCCCTTCAGAGCCGCTGGGACGACCACCGTGACGTATATCACCCCCGCTACCACCAGCAGGTAAGGGCGGTTGCGGAAAGTGTGCACCAAGTAAGGGACGAATACCAGGAGTACCAGCCACAGGTAGCCAGGTATGTGCTCGCCACCACGACCACCTGGCGGGACGAGAACAAGCTATAGAGAGGCTAGGGGACTGACGGAGGTGATGAAGGGGAGAGGGAGAAGGGGGGGGGACCTATCTGCGCGAGGGGCGAGTTTCCAAAAGGCATGGATTACCGCGTTTTTTTCCCCCCAGAATGCAAAATAGATTCTCACTCAGGAACTACAGTGATACAAGTGCTAGTTACAAAAAATAGGATCCCCTTTTGTTCTCAGAAAACAAAGGAAATTCTCACTCAAGAACTACAAGGATACAAGTACTAGTTACAAAAATATGAACCACTTTTGCTCTCAGAATACAAAAGAAATTCTCACTTAAGAACTTCAGAGATACGAGTCGGAATTGCAGAAATGATACCATTTTCTTCTCGAGACACAAGACCTAAGAAATAACGGATACAGGTGCCAGTTACAATTTTTTTTTTTTTTTTTCTCAGAGCACAAAAAAGGTCCTGACAAGAATTTAAGAAAGGAGACGAGAGTTAGAGACAAATTCACTTTTTGTTCTCGAGATACTGAAACAAACCTATGGGGGAAGGCTAGATCAGTAGTAACTCGAGGAGATGATTGTTCAATGAAAACATAACCATTAAAATCATTATTTCCATCTTTTTAGAAACTTGAAAAGACCAAAATGATCGACCATATTCACAAAACATCCGTAACTTTTGTGACGTCATCAAAATAAACCCCATATGTTTTTTTCCCTAAATAGAATCAGACGACACATCACCTCCTGGAGTTGCTGCTGATCTAGCCTTCCCCATGCCATGCCCTGTGGCTCGTGTTCCTCCCCTCCTGTGCCGCAGACGAGAAACATCCATAGAGCCAAAGAAGGCGACCCGTGTCCAATAGAACTGCGAGTTACAGACAGTAATCATAATAATATTCTACGACTTATGTTCCCTTTCGTTTTCAATATATAGACGAAAGAACCGAGCCTGTGTCCTAAAGGTGCTTTCACACTTGCAGTTTTTTCCGTCAATTTTTTTTACAATTTTATTTTACATAAATACAAACATTCTCTAATATAGCTCTTGATTTGACTATGCTCGGTTGAAAATATTGACGGAAAGGTTTTCAGACGGAAATGATCATTATCGTCTGACTGGAAAGTCGACAATTCGCTAAAAAATGGAAAATAAAAACAATCAGAAAATTAGAAAAATTGTCAGCCAAAAGTGCGAATTACAGAAAAGTCTTCGTTTCATCCTATCTCAAAATACAAAAGGAAGGGAGAAACCCATATATGAATAAAAAAAAAAAAAAATCAGGCTGGGTGGCAGGGTGGGACTTCTAATAAAAATATTTAAAAAATAACACATGTATAGAATTCATCTGAAAAAAGTTCTCGAATATATAATTTTTTCACCCCACATAAACTTCTTTATTAGGATTTTAACAATGTTCAACTTCCCAATCAACTGAAAATTTCCCCTTTTCATAACAAAATACAAAATTTAGGTACAATGCATCATTATAGTTATCCTACTACTCCGTGCCAATTACATGCAATCCTATCTAGCACAAGATGAATCTGATGAAAAAAAAACATGTATCATATTCCTTCAGCGCAAGTTGAGCTGCTAATCAGGTAAGTCCTTATTTAAGTCCTTATTAAGAGACAACATGAAAACGTTACTAGGCCTACAGGCACATTAGTTGGAATACAGAGGTGATATTTTGAGATATACATGTATATACATATTTATACACATACATAAATACATATACATACACATATGTGTATAATATACATGCATACATGTGTGTGTATAAACACACATATGTGTATAATATACATGCATACATGTGGGTGCGTATACATACATATATGTGTATAATATACATGCATACATGTGTGTGTGTGTGTATGCTTGTATGTAGCGTGTGTCGTGTGCATGCGTGCACAATAGACACACATACATATACAAACAGTGGCATAGACATCAAAACAAAGTTAAACGCCACACACAGGCACCAATCAAGACCCACACACAAGCATTCCCACACACGCAACAGTGGCAACACCTGAAGCCAAGTAAAAGAATCTGAAACCGAAGCAGCGAACCACTCGAACCCCAACCCGAAGCAACGAAACCGATCCCGAAGCTTCGAACCCCCGAACCCGAAGCAACAAACCACTCAAACACCAACCCGAAGCTTCGAACCACCAGAATCCGAAGCAGCGAACCCCAACCCGAAGCTTCGAACCCCCGAACCCGAAGCAGCGAACCACTCAAACACCAACCCGAAGCTTCGAACAACCAGAATCCGAAGCTCAAACACCAACCCGAAGCTTCGAACCACCAGAATCCGAAGCAGCGAACCAACGCCTCACTCACCCGAACGCACTCCCGCCATGGCTAAGGAATTTAATCGTGCGAAGAACAAGGCGGGAGAAGGAGTAGTAGTTCGCGAGGGCGGGCACCACCACGCAGCTGTAGATCAGGACGGCCACCAACACCACGCCCACACCACACGCGGGCGTCAGTAGAGGGGCTAGCAGCACGAGGGATAGCAGACAACCTGTGGGCGTGAAGGGGGAGTAAGACGAGGGCGAAGAGAGAAGGCAAGAAAGGGGGAAACTGTAAGAGAAGATGTACTGTTACATGTATGTGTGTTTGTATATATATATATATATATATATATATATATATATATATATATATATATATATAATATATATATTTATCATACACACACACACACACACACACACACACACACACACACACACACACACACACACACATATATATATATATATATATATATATATATATATATATATATATATAATATATATATATATCTCTGTGTGTGTATGTATGTGTACATATGTATACATGTATGTGTATATATATATGTATTTGTATGCCTATATCGTATTGGGAAACTATAAAAGAATATCTGAATGGCAGCTATTGCAAGAACGGAATGTGATACTGAATTTAAGTGCTACCACATGAAAATAAATAAATAAAAAAAACTAAAAAAAATGAATACTATCTATACTGACCTTCTGGATGTTTTTTATTCATTTTACAAGAGGATAATATTGATTAACACGATATTACAAAACTGAATTTATCTCCCCTCCCCCCCCCAACCCCACCTACCCACCCGCTGTCCCGTGGCGGTTCTCCTGATGGTTCGCAACGGCCCGCCACCTCCCTGGGTTCCTGTAGGGTGAATCTAAGGGCATTGCTCGCCCGCTCTCGTGCCCTTAGGAATCATCGCCACGCCCCCGTTGACCAAGGTGACCTCGGACATCGCCTGGAGGAAGTGACGCGCGGCGGGGGGGGGGGGGGAGCGGTTACATCTTCCGCCGTCGGATGTGGTTGTCACGCCCGGGCACTGGAAGCTCTGCAGAAGGGAAGGGGATGTGTGAGTGCGTGGGGTCAGTGCAGGGGGTCAGTGCAAGGGGTCAGATGTCAGGATGTACTGAGGTCGAAGATGTGGGTACATGTACTCGTAGATATGGATGCGGAAATAGGATACGAACACATGCATACGAACACGCAAATATAAATGCATACTGAAACACACACATAAATACAGCTCAAACACTCAACACGCACTCAAACACACACACTCATAAACAGCTCAACACACACACACACTCACACACATCTCAACACATACACACACTCAAACACACACTTACAACACAAACAGCTCAAACACACACATTTACACTCACACACTCAGCTCAAACACACACACACACACACACACACACACACACACACACACACACACACACACACACACACACACACACACACACACACACACACACACACACACACACACACACACATACACAACACACACACACACACACACACACACATACACAACACACACACACACACCCGCACTCAAACACACACACACACACACACACACATACACAAGTACGCAATAACCAAACAGTATTTGGTATAGACAGAAACTGCTGCTGATTTGACAACATACAGTGAAATCGCACACTGAAAATGCAGCAGAATTTTATACAATAAACCAGGCATATTACTTGATGAGCATAATGCATGAATGACATAATAAAATGACATCTAGGTTAAAAATGGTCAATGGATGTGATGTATAAGTCTAGTTTTGACTAACTAAAACTTAACAGATATATATATATATATATATATATATATATATATATATATATATATATATATATATATATATATATATATATATATATATATGGTCATTTTCTCAAAAATAAATCATTTATAAGATGGAAATATGATCTATACGTAAGGATGAAAATTAGGCGATCTGACTCATGATATTGGTCTTAAGATCTAGCATTACATTGCTTATTGATTACCTGTCTTTTTTTTACCTGTACGGATGAAAAGTAGTCCACTTGTTTGATAATAACAATGATAATGATGATAATGATAATAATAAATGATAATAATGATAATAATGATAATGGTAATAATAATGATAATAATGATAATGGTAATAATAATGATGATAATAAAGCTGATGGTAATGATAACAATAATAATGATGATCATACATGCAAAAATTAGTAAACTCGATCAGTAACAGTAATAATAATAGTAATACCATTCCTACTAATAACAACAGCAGCAAAAACAACTGATAATGATCATAATAATAATGATAATAACAATGATAACACAATACTAACACTAATAGTGATACTACTAGTACTACTACTGATAATGGTGATAATAATAATCATGATAAAATAATAATAATGATAATAATAATGATAATAATAATAACAATAATAATAATAATAATAATAATAATAATAATAATAATAATGACAATAATAACGATAATGATAATAATAATATTAAATAATAATAATAATAATAATAATAATATAATATAATAATAATATAATAATAATAATAATGAATGATAATGATAATCATTAATGATAATAATAATAATAATAATAAATAATAAATAATATAATAATAATAATAATAATAATAATAATATATAATAATATAATAAAAGATGAATGGTAATGAAAATAATGATATAATATAATAATAATAATAATAATAATAATAATAATAAGAAAAAGATGAACAATGGTAATGATAATAATGAAAATAATATTAATAATAATAATAATAATAATAATAAGAAAAAGATCAACAATGGTAATGATAATAATGATAATGATAACTAGAAGCACTGAGAGAGCTCATGCTTAAGTCAGGCAATTATAATGACGTCATAATTGGGTTAAAAAATATATTTTTTTTATCATAATCATCATCAACATCCTTATAGTTATTATCATTAGATCTATCTATTACTGTTATTATTATTGCTATTATGATTATTATTATTATTACCATTATTGTTATTATTATTTTTATCATCATCATTATTGTTTAAATCATTATTTTTGTTATTATTATTATTATTGCTGTAATTATTATCATTATCATTAGCATTGTTATTATCATTATCATTATCATTATTTCTATGATGATTATCATTATCATCATTATTACCATTATTATTATTATTACCATTGCTATTACTCTTATCATTATTATTGTTATTACCATTACTATTATCACTGTCACCATCATCATAATCCTCTGGTAAAAAAATCATAAAAATCTGTTCATAACTTTTTGAGTTCTCCTGCTAACCGATGAACAAATAACATCCACGATAATAGATTTAATGATAACAAGTACAAGAAAAAAGTAATAATACGATAATGATGATTTTAAAGATAATGATGTTGATAATAAAAGTAATAACGATAATGATAATGAAAATAATAATAATAATAAAATAATATTGATAAGAATGATAACAATTAAGATAGATATGATGATAATACTAAAATCAGTGATAAAGATAACAATGATAACAATAATGATGATGGTGATAATGATAATAGTGTTAATAGAAAATGATAAAATTAAAATAAGTAGTAATGATAATAATGATAATCATGAGAATATTGAAAATGATAAACAAAAAATAACAACAACAATAATGATAATAGGTACGATACTGATAATACTAATGATATGATCATGATAATATTAATAACAATAATAAATATGATGATAATGATGATAATAATGGCAATAATAATGATAATAATAGCAACGATAATGATAACAATAATTAATGATAATGATAAATGTACCAATTTAACATAAATGATAATGACTAATGATAATAATTGTATTAATGATAATAACAATAAGAATCATGATGATAATAATGATAATAGCAATAACGAAAAATGATAATGATAATAATAATAATGATATTGATATTAATGATAAAAATTATGATAATAATGATAATGATAATAATGATGATGAATATAATAATGATAATAATAATAATAATAATAATAATAATAATAATAATAAAAATAATAATAATAATAATAATAATAATAATAATAATAATAATATAATAATAATAATAATAATAATAATAATAATAATAATATAACAATAATAATAATTAATTAATAATAATAAATAATAATAATAGTATAATGATAATAATAATAATAATGATAATAATAATAATAATAATAATAATAATAATAATAATAATAATAATAATAATGATAAAATAATAAAAAATAATAATAATAATGATAATAATGATAATGATAATAATAATACTAATACTAATAATAATGATGATAATGATAATAATAACAATAATAATAATAATAGCAATGATAGTAATGATAATGATAATAATAATAATAACAATGATTATAATAATAATAATAATAATAATAATAATAATAATAATAATAATAATAATAATAATATAATAATAATAATAATAATATAATATATAAATAATAATAATAATAATAATAATAATAATAATAATAATAATAATAATAATAATAATAATAATAATAGTAATAATAATAATAATAATCATGATGATACTAAAATAATGATGATAATAATAATAATAACAATAATAATAATAATAATAATAATAATAATGATAATAATAACAATAATGATGATTATGATAGGGATAATAATCATGCCAATGATAGAATAATAAAAACAACAATAACAATCATAAATCATAATCTTAATAATGATAATGATGATGATAATAATGATAATAACAACAATGATAATGATAATCATCATCATGATAATAAAAACAGCTATAATATCAATAATATTAATGATGATGATGGTGACAGTGATAATAGTAATGATAATAACAATAATAATGATAAATGTGATAGCAATGGTAATAATAGTAATAATGGTAATAATGATGAAAATGATAATCATCATAAAAATAACGATAATGATAATGATAAAAATGATTATCATAACGACAATAATAACAATAACAATACTACTACTATTACTACTAATAATCATAATAATAATGATAGTAATAATAGTGATAATAATAATAATAATAAAGATAATAATAATGATAATAATAATAATAATAATAATAA